ACTGATTGAGATTACCTTGGTAGAATTGAGTGCTCATATAGTTAAATTCTTGTCCGAATTGCATCCTGCAAGCATTAGGCACAAAACCCTAGAAAACATTTGTTAGCTCAAAAAGATAAAAAAAATAAAAAAATAAAAAAATAAAAAGATAAAATAAATAAAAAATAAATAAAAAGATAAAAAAATAAAAAAGATGAAAAGATAAAAAGATGAAAAGATGAAAAGATGAAAAGATAAAAAGAGGAAAAGATGAAAATATGAAAAGATGAAAAGATAAAAAGATAAAAAAATATAAAAAGATGAAAAGATAAAATCAAGTCAAAGCTAATCAATAATCACATAAATAGAATAGTTAAACCACGAGTCCCCGACAACGTCGCTAAAAACTTGATAAACAAATTTTTAATTCCCAGCAACGGCGCCAAAAACTTGTTAACACACGGCAAGTGTATCGAATCGTATGAAGTAATAATAAAGTGGTAAATCCAAGTATCGTTTCCCAAAGGACTCACTGGCCTAGACAATTATGTGATTTCTTGATTAAATTAGACTTGTAAACAAAATCATTGTGTGTATATTACGGAAAAATAAACATGAATGCAAGTGTTGATCAATTGGACCGAAAGATGCAAAAGTGATTGATGTAAAATATGGAATGATGATGTTGTTGGGGTTTCTGACTTATCCTATCCACTCTCATGTATTCATGAATAATCTTTCTTCATTAATGTTAATGTCACTTTCTAATTTACCTTAAACCCGATGTCTCGGTGCAGAAAGCCTATCCTAATTACTAGTTTACAATGTCTTGTCTCCCTAGCAATTATNGTCAACTTGTCAGAGCAGACATGCTTTTTCAGTACTTTGCTTGAAGTAGGTTGTACTTTCTTTTAGACACCGCTTTAAGTGAAGAACATTATGTGAATATCTCTTTTGTCTCTAACATCCACTTCTAATATTTTAATTTAAAGCTTGTTGATGCGTGTAAAGTAGCTCATCTGCAAAGAATAAAGTAGATTATGCATACAACATATATGCCTTTTCTCTTATCATTTTTGTTGTTTTTGAACATTGAGCATTCAATGTCATTTAATGTTTTATCATAACAACAAAGTGTTTTTTGATTTCCTACCGTTGAGGTAGCGTTTAACAATTAAGTTTTTCTTCTAAAGATACTAAGTGTTGAGTAAAGACTTCATCGTTAGACAAAGTAATAATTTAGATCATGGTATCATTTAGACAGTGTTTAACATTGTTTGTGTTTTCTTTGATGTTTTATGTTTTATGTTTTAACATTTAGACAGTGTTTAACATTGTTTCATTTTTCGAGAGTTAAACTGAATACCCTTTGGGTAGGATAAGCTTTACACGTTTAGCTTTAACTCTCTTAGACGTTTTTGACTCAACAATCGCTTAGCATAGCGTCTGGGTGTTTTAACTTAGATTTTTTTTTATTCCCTAAAATTCCTAAGTGTTTTGCTAAGGTTTTTCTATATTGGGTGTTGAGATTGTTGATGGGGGGACACAAGTTTAACTTAACCCACAATCTCAGTAATATCTGAGTTTTTGATGATGACAACACATAATTAATAACACATGTATATTCTCTGTTACATGTTCTATGTTTACATGTCATATGCTTTTTTTTAATGTGGTAAATCTGTTAAAGCATATATGAGAACATGTTTGAGCTATGTTTGTGTTGTTCATTACATATCACTGTGTGAAATATGTGATTTTATATGTGTATGCATGACATATGTTTTCGGGAAAAGAAAAATCGCAAGCACTATGGTTGAAATTTAAATGTGTGGCAAAACAATAGTTTTAAGTCGATTACATTATGGGGTGAATCGATTAAAACTCGTGTGTTTGCACAAACTCTTTAGAAGTGTGCTGTGAGTTTTTTCAAAGAGAAAAGTTTTCAAAACTGTGCAAAAAGATTTCACTTAATCGAATGCATGCATTATGTATTCGAATAGTTTAGTTGATGTTTTGAAAATCTGTTAAATGCTGGTAACAACTAACATAACGGTCATATTTTTAAATATGTTGACCAAGCATTAAATGATAGTCGATTGCATTAATTGTACATTCAATTATTTGTTTGACGGTTGTTAATTCTATTATAACTGATTGTTATCTTCGATTACGTTAGTAGCTCAATCGATTAAAATGCGTCTGATATGTGTTATACTATAAATTGACGCAAATTTGAATTTTGTAAGAACTTTTTGTGATTCTAAAAATTTCATATCATTTACAGAAAATTGTGATCTTATAGAAAGAGAGGAAAAGCTCCAAGAAACAAGATTGACCGTGGTGATCAACAACTTGTGATTTCTTGAAGAACAATACTGTTGTGTTTCAAAGACTGATCAAATCAGCACACTTGGGTGTTACTGCGTGATCAGATTCTGCAATCTCGTGAAGATTGGTTTGAGTTCCCTGTTGTGATTACAGGAAGAAGAATGCATGTGTTCTTGACATTGAGGGTGCCTCAAAGGGATTAGACGACAGAAGAGGGGATTCTTGCTGTTGGTCTTGTTGTTGACTGCCTATATTAGATTAGAAGGTTTGAGAGGTGTTTTATATTTTTGACGTGAGGTCTCTATAAAAGCCTTATTGTAAAAACCTTGATCTTTATAGTGCATTGGCTTTTTGTAGTTGGAAGGACACTAAATGTAGGCTTGGTCAAACCATTATAAAAACTCAATGTTTGAATTTTCTAATCCTTACTCTATTTTATTCAATCGATTACTTTTTGTACTTATTCGATTAAGTTTCCGCTGCATTGAAAATCTTTTACCGTGCAATCTCTCAATTAAGTGACCAATCTGCATCTCCATCCTTTTACATGATGCTTCAATGCTTTTTTGAGTGGAGATGGACTCTTGCATAAATTGTTGAAAGACGTCATCTAACTTTGCAATTCTTTCTGACAGAGAGTTTTGTTGCTACCATTGTTGTTGTGGTAGTCTCTCAAATTGTCCGGCAGCTAAACCAAATTGACTTTGATCCATGCTTGAGTGAGATTTCCTCCACTGATTGAGATTACCTTGGTAGAATTGAGTGCTCATATAGTTAAATTCTTGTCCGAATTGCATCCTGCAAGCATTAGGCACAAAACCCTAGAAAACATTTGTTAGCTCAAAAAGATAAAAAAAATAAAAAAATAAAAAAATAAAAAGATAAAATAAATAAAAAATAAATAAAAAGATAAAAAAATAAAAAAGATGAAAAGATAAAAAGATGAAAAGATGAAAAGATGAAAAGATAAAAAGAGGAAAAGATGAAAATATGAAAAGATGAAAAGATAAAAAGATAAAAAAATATAAAAAGATGAAAAGATAAAATCAAGTCAAAGCTAATCAATAATCACATAAATAGAATAGTTAAACCACGAGTCCCCGACAACGTCGCTAAAAACTTGATAAACAAATTTTTAATTCCCAGCAACGGCGCCAAAAACTTGTTAACACACGGCAAGTGTATCGAATCGTATGAAGTAATAATAAAGTGGTAAATCCAAGTATCGTTTCCCAAAGGACTCACTGGCCTAGACAATTATGTGATTTCTTGATTAAATTAGACTTGTAAACAAAATCATTGTGTGTATATTACGGAAAAATAAACATGAATGCAAGTGTTGATCAATTGGACCGAAAGATGCAAAAGTGATTGATGTAAAATATGGAATGATGATGTTGTTGGGGTTTCTGACTTATCCTATCCACTCTCATGTATTCATGAATAATCTTTCTTCATTAATGTTAATGTCACTTTCTAATTTACCTTAAACCCGATGTCTCGGTGCAGAAAGCCTATCCTAATTACTAGTTTACAATGTCTTGTCTCCCTAGCAATTATTCATGCATTACATTCGCATAAAAGCTTAAAGGCAACCAATCCTCCTATCCCTATGTCTAGGTAATATTGCTCTAGGGAGAATTTCTTCAGTTCTAGATTTATCTATTTGTGTCCATATAAATAACATCAATGATCATGCAATTGAATGAGTTAAACAAAGCATGCAAAGAGCATAGAAGAAACACACTAACAATTAATGAAGTTAAGCATATATAATCAAGAATCAATTCAATACAAGAGAGTTTCAAAGGATTACATCGATTCCCCAACAACAATGGAGGTTTAGTTCACCATAAACATGGTGAAACTAGATGAAAAACAATGAAAGAGTGAAAGATAGAACCTTAGAATTTAAAGAAAGGAGCTTTCGCATCCAAAATCCGCTTCCAAGGGGTGAAGAAAGTGTGATTTCGCCTCTTTCTGTCCAAAGATGTCAACCCTAAGTCGACTAAAACCTTATATAGTTTATTACAAATTACAGAAAATAAGCCCAAGCCTAAATAAATGGTACTCAACGGTATTTTGGCGCTCAGTGGAAAGTGTGACTCTTCAGTTTTGACACTCAGCTGCAGTTTTGCTCCTCAGCAGTGACTGCGATACTTCAGAGTGTCGCTCAGCGGTAAAAGTGGCGTTGAGCGGTGATTGCGACTCTTCTTTTGTGCACTTTTACTTCCTTTCCTGAGTCCAACTCCTTACTACCTCAACTTTTTTCATATTGTTCATCTTAATTCCTGCCAGAAAAAAGGGAAGCCAAGCATAAAACCCATCCAACTCTCTTAAGCATATTGTTCATATATAGTGATCAAGGAACCCATTTTTGTAACATATCCATGCAAGCTTTGCTTAAGAAATATGGGGTTGCGCACAGAGTCTCTACACTATACCACCCCCAAACTAATGGGCAAGTCGAGATTTCAAATAGGGAGATAAAGAGGATCTTAGAGAATATTGTCCATCCCAACATAAAAGATTGGAGTAACAGGTTGGATGATGCTCTTTGAGCGCATAGGACTGCCTGCAAAGCACCTATGGGGATGTCTCCCTATTGGGTTGTCCTTGGAAAGGCATGTCACTTACTTGTTGAGATAAAGCATTAAGCATACTAGGCTGTGAAGACTTGCAACTTCTCTATGGATCAGGATGAAGATGAAAGGAAGTTGCAATTGAATGAACTTAATGAGATCCGTATGGAAGCTTATGAGAACTCAAAGTTCTACAAGGAGAGAACCAAGTTCTATCACAACTTGATTGTTAGAAAGGACTTCGAGGTTGGGCAGAAAGTGTTGTTGTACAATTGTAGGCTTGGTTTTATGGGTGGTAAGTTACGCTTAAAGTGGATTGCACCTTTTATTGCTACTAATGTTTATCCTTATGGTGTAGTTGAGATCAAAAGTGAATCCACAAATAAAAGCTTCAAAGTCAATGGGCACAAGCTAGAGCCTTTCCAAAGCAATCCTTCACTGTTGGATGCAATTATGGAGGAGACGTCTCTACTCGATCTCGCTTCTCATTCCCCCTAACTTAGGGAGTTTTCTTTCTCCTTCTCCACTTTTATTGCACTTGTCCAGATCTTTTGATTGTTCTGATTCTTGATCTTTTGTTTATGACACATTGAGCATAATATGTAGTTTAAGAGTGGTCTATTAGGAGAGATTTTTCTTTCTTTAGGTTTTTTTAGTTTGTTTTTCCTTATTTTAAGCTTGTGCCTATGTAAAATTTTTCATGTTTCTCTTGATTTCTCAATTTTGAGTTAAGTTGTGGGCTTTTCCTTCACTTTATTGATACTGGTTGGTGTGAAAACATTGCTTTTCTCTGCTTGGAAAAATGATTATGATTTTTGAGAGGTTGATTTGATTGTGACAGAAATACCATGTGTGAGGATTTGAGCCACTTTATGTTCTTTCTTGTGTGTGATATATCTCTTGATTGTTTGCACATATGCCTTGGGCTTGACTCTTTTTTGATTATTCTTGACTGATATGCATGTTTGGAAGTGATAAAGGCAATTTTGTTCTTAAGTCTCTAAGCCAAATAAGCCTACCTTGATCAAATCCTTTGATAATCCTTTTGAGCCTAAGTTTTTTTTTTTTTCATTTTCTTTGTTTTGAAGCTCAGACATTAGGCTTAAGTGAAAAAACATTATTACCTCAACCTTAGGAAATTTTGGAGCTTTCGAATTATTTTGGGAATAAGTGTGGTCTTCATTGGATTCTTATGAATTGGTAGTTGGTTTTCTTGGATCCTCTATTGCTTCTTGAGTTTATATGCTATTTATCTTGTCTCTTACAATTTGTGTTCTAAAAAAAAAGAGAAAAAAGACAAGGCAAGAATAGAAAAATAAAAAAATGAATGGTGAAGTCAAGAAGAGGATTGAAATTAGATGTTTTAGGTGTGTTTTTATTTAATTTTCAGTTGCTTCTTTATTTCCTTTTGGTGTGGAATGCTAAGTGAATATGACAAAATAATGATTCATCAGAAAGCTTACCTTTGTTTGTTTATTGTTGTATGTTATGTGTTCTTGGTTATTTTGATTAATAATCCTTATCTGATATATGTTTATATGATTATGATTATGGTTATATGTTGTTATTGTTAGGTAAGAGTTTGTGTATGTATGGGCATAGGGTTTATGTTATATTTGTGTTGGATTTTCCCTATGAATGTAATATGTATGTTTTTGTTGGGTTATGCCAACAAAGGGTTTGATGTTAAGGAAGAACAAATTTATGATACTTGGGGATTTCCATGCAAATATATGTTATAAGTGTTGGGTTATTGGACTCCCTTCCTATGTAGAGAATAGGCACAATAATGTGGACCCTTCATCAAGAAAACAATAATAAGACTTACCTACCAACCGCTCAAGCATCTGATCAATGAAAAGCAAGGGGGAATGATCTTTCCTTGTTGCTTGGTTAAGCCTCCTATAGTCAACGCAGACCCTCTAACTATTCTGCACTATTATAGGAATGAGCTCATCCCTCTCATTTTTTACTATAGTGAAGTCAGTCTTCTTTGGAACAACATGGAACGAGCTCACCCACTAATTGTCCGAGATAGGATAGATGATCCTAGCTTGGAGAGGCTTGATTACCTCCTTCTTTATAACATCCAAAATCACTAGGTTTTTCCTTCTCTGTGATTGTCTTACTGATTTTGCTCCATCCTCCAATAGAATTTTATGCATGCATATGGATGGGCTGATACCAGGAATGTCAGCTAAGGTCCAACCAATAGTCTTCTTGTGCTTTTGTAGCTCATGCAACAACTTCTCCTCTTGAACATCATTAAGAGAGGTGGAAATGATCACCGGTAGTTTCTCTTCACCCTTCAAGTAAGCATACTTGAGGTTTTCCAGAAGCGGTTTAAGCTTTGGAGTGGGTGACTGCAAGTCAGATTTATCTATACTTCTTGCAAAACGGTTAATGTATTTGGACTCTAAAGAATTTACATGCAAAGACACAACACTCATCTCATCATATTCAACATCAATATCCATCACAGAACATACATCATGTTCAGATTCACAATCATCAATATAAAAATCAACATCAATCATAGATTCATACTCAATATCATATTCAATGCATGTATAAAGAGAGGATAGAAAAAAATGTTCCCTATCATGCAAAGAATCAAATTTAGCAGCATATTCATCAACAACATCATCCAAAATTAAGCAGCATAATCATGACACTACTCATGGTGGTTTTGAAGGTGGTTTTCAATGGTCACATGGGTATGTGATGCTTGAATGCATTTATGATGTGTTAAGTATGTTTCCACGTGATATATGTTGATGTATGTATGTTTGAATGTTTGAATCAAGTCCAGGATGTGCTTTTATTCGGCAATAATCGATTATCATTAGTTATAATCGATTATCACACTGTATTTTGGTGAAAAATGACGAATTTGATGAAGAATGGACGTGAACCAAGCCCAAGGAGCTGTGGAACATTATGATAATAAGAGATTGTGGTTAATGGTTATGTTTAGGATCAATTTGACTTATGGTTAAGAGTGAAACATGAGTAAGTGTTGGGATGTACCTAAGTATGTGATTGGTGAGCATGAGAGTAGAGGATAAGTCTACTTTTTGTACCTCGTAAATCTTGGTTCGATTTGCGGATAGGTGCTTCATTTTGCCTTATGTGCATTGGAAGGAGACAGGCTACAAATGTCCTATAGGGAAGGCTACATGTGGGCTATAGGAGCGACTACAATCGGTGAGGTAGGGTACAAGAGTGAGATGAATTATTTCCACTATGGTATTATGGTACGGTGATGCTCATGATGTTGTTCATGACTGGGATATTCATGATGGTGGTGTATCTATGATGATGATCATGATACTTGAGATGCTTCTAGTTATGTTATGTTGATAGTGGTGTTACTATAATGGTTATGTTAAGTACTTAGCATGGATGCTAATGAGTGTATAGATCAAGGGTCTATGTGTGAGATGTTAGTGATGACATCAAGGGTTAGAGATCAAGGATCGATGATCGAAATTCAAGATCGGGAATCAAGTAATTCAGTATGATTGAATGGTTTATGTTAGAGGATTATGAATCCTATTGTTATTATTACTACTATGTATTGATGTTTGATTATGGTTTATATAATAAGAGGTATGTATCTTGTGTGTTTGGTTATGATTGGTATAATCAGAAGATATGTATCTTGTTGTGTGTTTGATTATGGTTGATATAATCAGTATGTATGTATCTTGTTGTTATGATGGTTTTATCGGTAGCTTACCCCATACATGTTTGTATTTGTGAATGAAATTATCAGCGATGATCGTAGAATATGTTATACGGGAGCAGATGATATTGCAGATGTTCTAAAGGCATGCTAGATTAGAGAGAGCATAGAGAAAAACCTTAGGATTCAATTAAAGTTATTTTATTTTACAAGTTAAGACAATATAATTGGAGTATTTCATTTGTTATTTTATTACTCAAAATAATGTAATTGAATAATATTTTTTTAAGTATATTTTCATGCTATGATAAATTTTGAATTTTTATGAATTTTAATAACCCGTGACATCTCATAAATCAGGAGTTACAATCCTAATGTATTTTCAGATTCTTATTTCGTTTAATATTGGTTAAACTTAAAACATTAGAGTGTTTAGACGTATAAACGATTTTGTCTCAACAACTCCTTTCATTTTGTGGTTTTGATTTTCACCTACGATGATCGTATTTGTATAGGACCAGATAACATTACAGAGAATGGTGTTGATACGATGTTGAACAAAAGACGAGTAGTGAAGAATAATGCTTGGGTTTCTAAAATGTTAATTTTCTTTTTAATAAATTATTTTAAATAGTTTTAATATATTAACTCCAGTTGTAATTGGATTGTTTATTATTTCTGAAAAGATTCTATTTTCTCTTTAATATAACGAAATAATGTTTAAAAGTTTTACTATATTGTGATTATATTAGAGTTTTATATTTTTTTTAAATGATGAACATTTCCTTTCATTTACATGTAATATCTTAAATTGAGATGTTACATAATTTACCTAATTTACTAATTATTCTCTAAATATATAATATTAAAAAATATTAAGGTGTAATCTAGTTGAGGTTTGGTCAAATATATTTTAAATACATGAATATCTACATCAGTAAAATATTTTAAAATATTTTCTATCTATTAGGTTAATAAAATTTAGTTGAACCATATTATCTATATTATATAGTATATTTATTAAATCATACACACACACACACATATATATATATATATATATATATAGATATATATATATTATCCATTGAAAGAGTAACATCTTGTTAATACTTGATGTTATGGTTTGACACATGTAACAATTGCTTTATATAAAAAGCAATTGAAATCAGGACCACTGGACTTCTACAAATTTAAATTCTTAATTTTCATTTTATCTAAAATTAATTAATAATAAATTGTCGGTCATTCTAAATAGATACGTTTCTTAACATTATAGACAATATTTAGTAATATTTTTTCTGTTGAATTACGTAATATAATAAAAATATTAGCACTGTTTAAATTATTTGATTAAAAATGACAATCCTGAATTAAAAATTTCGTTCATTAATTTTTCTTAAACAAATTTCCTTTTATCATGAGATCACATCATAACTATCTGATACATAGACATCCATCTACCTAAACATCACATGGTAGTAGTACGGTATTAATTATATCTATAATTCATTGCTAAAGTCTCATTAATCATTGTTTCCAATTAACGGCTACGCTGCCAACGCCTATTAACAATTGCATAAACTAAATTTTAAATTTTAATTTTCCAGCTGCCCAATAAACAAAAAGTAAATAAAATTAAATAGAATTTTAATTTTGAAAACAGCATCAAACTTCGTTACTTCACAGCTACGCCACGTGTACCCACTTTGCAACGCTGGGCACGCCCTGGTTCACCGCGAAGGCCATGTAATACCCTGGCGGTACCACTTTCCCACTTGGTGGCGAGGTGACGCCAATCCGGTACTTCCCATCGCCGTCTGGCGCAGCAGAGGAAACCGCCAGTTTGACCAGACGTTGTCCCTGCGAAAACGAATGCGTAGCGAAAGGAGCACTGGCCAAATTCACTTCGACGATCCCCACCACAGGCAAAGAAACTGAAACCACCACATCGAAACTCTCCCCAAAGCGCACCGTTTCGGGCACCTCCTCAATGACCGGTCTAAGATTCGCCCTGTCCGGGGACAAATACTCGGGCGAAAACGCTTCAACTCTTAACTCGGTCGGATACTCAGCGTCGAACCGGTACAGAACATGTGGGTTACTTCCCGCAAGGAGAACCCTCCCGTCAGGTAACAAATTCGCCGTTGCGTGGTACATTCTCGGAACTGTGCCAGGGTTCAAAACCATGAACCGCAACCCAACCGGTTGATCAGGCCGGTACAGAACCGGGTTCAAACAAGGATTACTAGCCGACTCAAACCCCTGTGTTCCGGACATAGCTCCATTAATAACCAAAACGTCGCCGTTTGGAAGCATCACCATATCCCCCATTATTCTTCCAAACGGCATGTTCTCCATTTCCCATTTCGGATTTTCGTTGTCCCCCAGAGCTAGTATGCGCCCACAGCTACCGTGCGCCGGGGAGTCCGTACTCCGCAGCAAAAAAGCTCCGTATTGCGCGCCGCCGCACACAACAATCTCCGCTTTTGAGTAGTCCTCTTGTAAAGCCAACATCGCGGAGGACCCTGCAGAAGGGTAGTTCCGCGGACCGCCCTCCAATTTAGGGTATTCCTTAACGATGACGTGGCGCGTGAAATCATACATCACCGACCGCGTGTTGGCGAAAACGAAAAGGTGACCGTTAGGAAGAAGATGGACGTAAGGGTATAAGTTATCCATCTGCGTGTCTTCCGTTTCAGCCAAAAAGGGAAACGAAACCGCACCGTTTTTGCGTGGAGGGAAAAATTCGACAGTGTTGGAGCCTCTTCCGCCGATTATAATCACCGATCCGTCCGGCAAAATCTGGTTAGTGGCGTACCATCT